TCTTTTTAACTTTTATAAATTGAATGTGATTTGCTATCATCTATTTAATGATTGTCATTATCTTAATGTCTTTAACTTAAACCATCTAAAGTATCTTTGCTTGAGTTATAATGGGTTTAGGTTAATGGTTGAAAAAAAAAAAAAGAATTGTTACTAACTCAAAAGGTTTTTTCAAATCTTGTCCTTAATTACATATATTTTTTTTATAAAAATATATTTATAACGATAAATCTGAAACGGTACGCGAAAAATTCTGGTATCCGGTACGTACCGTTCCAGTAACAAAACCGGTACGCAGGCCGGTACGGTATCGACTCCTTTGGAAATATCTGTTAATCGCTCTTACAAGAGAAAATAAGCTTGAAATTGAAATCGTGTAAATTTGTTGTATGCTACCTTCTAATTTTGCGGACCTAAATTATTTTTCAGCATCTAATCTTTTTTTTCGATACCTTCTTCAATGATATTTGAATCATTTTTTTTTTCAAAAAAATATCCATCAACCTCTCTACATCAGAAAGAATAGGCGTGCAACTGCACCAAAGATCTGTTGTGCACTACTCCAAATCTGCTTGGCCCAATTTCTAGACTTGCCGGTATACAATTCCTTCTATTGTCTCTAAATCTTTTAATATAAAAATAAAATCAAAATACATCTATTATTATGAGAGAGAGGAAATAATATGCTTATACTTTTTTATATTCAAAGAAATAAATACTTTTTTATACTCTATTCATTTCAAAATAATTGTCATTTTTTATTTGTCTCATTAATTTTTATTTTTTATTTTCTAAGATAAACATATATTTTTTTACTTTAACTTTATTTTTTAATTTATTTTAATCAATTCGCTCTTTATTTATTTTTTATTTCTTTTTATTTTTTAAGAGTAATATAAGAAAAAACAAAAATTATCCCTAATCTTTCATTTAGAGAAAAAAATAAAAGATGAAAGTTATTTTAGAATAAAAAAGTATAATTATATTTTAGCTTCAATTTATAAAAAAATATATTGATATTGTATTAATTACAAAACTATTTTTTACTTTATTGATTTTATTTTTAAAATTATATTACTTTTAATTTCAAATTGATTTTATTTATTTTATTGAATAAAGTAAGCAATTATTTTATTTCTAAAATTGGATTGATTTAATTTCAATTTTATTTTATTCTTTACCGTAAAATACTAATTTAATTTTTAATTAATTCTGATTTTTAAAATTGACTAAAATTATGTTTTAATTAATTTAATTTTTTATTCATTATTAATAATTTAACTTTAAATAGATTTTACATTTTAATTATTATAATATCTATAAAATAAATAAATAAGAGATTAAACAAAAATGAAAAATAAGAGTGAAAATATACATAAAAAAATAAAAGAAAAAAAAAATGAACCAATTTGTGTTGATCAGGTTTTATTAGATTTAACTGAGTTTGATCAAATTTAGCTAAATTCGACTGGGTGTTGACTAGATTTTGACTACTACTATGTAATATCTTAGACTTAGTTTGGAAATACACTTTGGATCTTTAATTTTTGACCTTTTTTTTTCTTTTTATTATCTTAAAAATATATATTTTTATCACCATCTAAAAAATATGTAAAATATAGTGAAAATAAATATTAGGTATATTAGATATGTTATATATATATATTTTTGAGATATTAAAAAATACAAAAAAATTTACAATTATAACTATAACTCCATACTCCCAGACCAAGCATTAATCCAAACTGTTTTTGGGATTAATTCTAATTGAACTAATTAATCTAATCAAATTGGTTTGAATTTTAAAACAAGGGTTTGTTTATTTTGTGGCTTTAAGGTACAGGATAAAAAATCATTATTATGTAATAATTATGATTTTTTTCTTAAAAAAGTAAAATTTTATATTAAAAATAATTTCTAATTTTTAATTTAAAATTAACTAATAAAAACTTAACACATATATGATATTTATAATTAAATCAAAAAATTAACTTTATATTTTCAAGATAAAAAGTGATAATCATTAAATAAGATAAAAGGTAATAAAAAGTAATAATGCTTAGGGTACATTATAGATAAACTCTTAAAACAATCAATAAAGTGCATCCCAAACACAACCTTACAAGTTGTCATCCTCCCCCTAATTGAAAAATAAAAAATCTCTAAAACTTACTCTAGTGATATAAGTACCCTCAACTTACATATACTTCATGGAGTAGCAAGCTTCAATCTACCCTAAAATAGCTTTAATATTTGGTTGACCAGGTTTCCTGCACCATCTAATAATTAAGGACGACCTATGTCCAAATATTAAGTCCTTAATTGTCATTCTCATTGACTAAAGGCAGAAGTCTCTTCTCCTAAGCTGGCTAATCAAACTCCTCTCATAAAAAAAATTGAGCAGCTGCTACCTCTAATTTGCTTGGCCTTTTTCTCTTGTTAGTGTCCATCAATTTCTTTCTACTAAACCTGCTGCAGATATACAGTACACTATCTTGCACTCTTTGATCTTCGATCTTGATTTTGTTTTATATATGTATATATACATACAAATATGTTCAATATCATTAGAATTTGTATACATAAATTAAAAAAACAATGATTAGTACACTTTTTAATATGCTCATTAAAAAATTATTATCTTTAAATTCAAATTCAAGACAAAAACTTTTAGAAACAAGTTTTAATAATTAAATTAATGAATATTGATAAATAAGTTGAATTGAAAAATATACTGATCTTTTTCTAAATTGAAAATATCTAAAAGTTTTCTTGCAGATCCATGTGCTTAAGTATTAAGAAAGAAGCTTCATTTCTGGTTAGAGTTCTCATTTTTAAAAGGAAATCATGTGTGGATTAAGCACACAATTTTTCATAACTTTTTTAATTAAGAATATAACACTTTTTTTGTTACCAATCAGGCTACTACCTTACAAAAAAACTTTTAATTAAGAAATATTTTTTTTATATTTTTAGTAATTATAACTATATTTCTATTAAATTAAATAAATTTTAATTTTTATAAAAATTTTGATTTCTAAATATAATAACTTACCAAATCTAAAAAAATAAAAACAAACAGTCACAATTATTCTAAGTAAAACCTTAATATTTTTTGTAAACAATTTTTGTTGTGTTATTACAGATGACATCTTTTTAAGACACCATATAACATGTTTGTAATTTTTTATTTATATTAAAGTTGTGCATATATAAGTTAATCATTGTTAGTTACATTTTTTTTATTCTGTATAAGAAATAAATTTAACGGCATTACTGTTACATTTTAGGAAATTCATCTATGGACAAAATTGCTGAGAAAGTTGAGAATTTAGTAGGCCACCACAGAAAACTTGAAGAAGATCTGGAGGAGTTGAGAAGCGAATGGCAGGTTTTAAAGTGGAGGAAAACTGACGTTAATTCAAGAATACAAGCAGAGGTAGAGGTTCACTCGGACCAGGAGGTGAAAAAAGAAGTAGAAGGATGGCTTGAAGATGTTCAAAAGATCGAACAAGACATACAAGATGTTGAAGAAAGAGTAGGCACAGTTCCATACTACAAACGTGCCAGTCTTGATAAACTTGTGCGTGAAAAAATTGAACTGGTGAAGAGGATTCAAGGGAGGGGCATTTTCGAAGGAGGCCTTGGGATTAAGAGAGCTCCAGCTTGTGGAATGGTAATTCCAACAGAAAATTTAGAGGGTGAAATTTCTACTAAAGATGAAATTTGGGAGCACTTGATGGGCAACAAAGTTGGAATGATTGGGGTTTGTGGTATCGGTGGAGTTGGTAAGACTACAATCATGAAGCATGTTAACAATGATTTATTGACGGGGAGTAGATTTCAGAAAGTGATTTGGGTTACTGTATCATATCCTCTCAATGTTTTAGAACTCCAAAAGAAGATTGCACTTGCTATGGGCAGATCACTTCCAGAAGATAAAGAAGAAATAATGCGAGCTGCCGCACTAATGGAGATAATGGGAAGAGTGAGATTTGTGCTAATATTACATGATGTATGGGAAAATTTTTCTTTGAGTGATGTTGGAATGCCAAAACCAACTATGCAGAATGGATGCAAAGTAGTTATCACTAGTAGATCAGTTGATGTATGCAATTCTTTGGGTTGTAAGATTGTTAAAAAGCAGCCTCTTTCACCGCAGGAGTCCCTAAACTTATTCCTGGATAAGGTTGGACATGATGTTTTACAAGTTTCAGGATTGGAAGAAATCTTGAAGCTTATTGTGCAGGAGTGCGCCGGTTTACCGCTGGCAATTGTTGTAATAGCAGGGGGCATGAGGGGAGAATATGATATTATAGAGTGGAGAAATGCACTAAATGAGTTAAGCCAGTGTGTAAAAAGTGTGAAAGGCATGGAGGATAAGATATATGGGCGGTTAAAATTTAGTTACGACCGTCTAAGAAGTTTGGAAATTCAAAAATGTTTTCTTTATTGCTCCTCATTCCGAGGAGATTATGAGTTTTTTAGGAAGGAGTTGATAGAAGGTTGGATTGATGGAGGATTGATTGATGAGTTGGGAAAAAGACAAGAAGCTTATGATAGGGGTCATGCTTTTTTAAATAGGCTGGAAAAGAACTGTTTGTTAGAGAAAACAATTGGTCAGGGTGGTCAAGTTTTTAAGATGCATGATGTTGTGAGAGACATGGCTATCAAAAGCATTGGTGCTGGATAATATATGGTAAAAGCTGGTATGAATCTGAAAAAGGTACCGAATGAGAGTGAGTGGGTAAGAGATCTTAAGAAGGTATCTCTAATGGCAAATGGCATTTCAAAAATTCCTGTTGGTTTGATATTGTCAAATAATGCTGATTTGGCAGAGATTCCAAGTTCCTTTTTTGAAGATATGGTCGGACTTAAGGTTCTTGATCTTTCTGGTACTAGTATTAAAGCTTTACCTGATTCCATCTCTAACTTGGTGAATCTCTCTGCACTGCGGTTGAGGAAATGCAAGAGGTTAAAGTACTTTCCTTCCTTAGCAAAGCTTAGCGCATTGAAGAAGTTGGATCTGCATAAGGCAGGGATTGAGGAGGTCCCTCAAGGCATGGCGATGTTGGTGAGTCTTGAATATCTTGATTTATTTTGTCCAAAACTGAAAGAGATTCCAACGGGAATATTACCTAGCCTTCCCACTCTCCAGTACTTGGTTGTATATCTAAGCAGTGCAATGACTAAAAGGATAAATTTAGAGGAGGTTGCTAGACTGAGCAAGTTGCAGAGTTTGGAATGTGGAATAGAGGTTATACAAGACTTTAACTATCTGGCCAATAAGTCTAAAGATTTTGAAAGTCTTATGGCTTATGGTCTTCGATTGACAACAGGTAAACAAGACATCACAGCTCATGGATTTTCTGATGAATATCAACATAAGGTTTTAATCCTTGATTGTGAGATTGGAGAAGAATGTATAGCGCTTCCAGATCAGCTTGAGGGTTTGTGGATCTATCATTGTAAAAACATGAAAAACATGAGATTCAGCTTAAACAAAGCAGTTTTGTTAGAAAATGCAACCGAGTTGAGAATCTGTTCTATTTGGGATTCTGAAGGGATAGAGTGCATGGTTGAGTTGGACTATTCCTCCTCTTCATTGAGTTGTCCAGTACTGGATAAGGTTGAAAAGTTGTATATTAATAACTCGCCTAACTTGAGTGCACTTGTGAGAGTGGAAGGAGTAGCAACACCACAGCCTGTCTTTTCCAATCTTAAAAGCCTTCTTCTACATACTTGTTCAGGAATGAGGACGTTGCTTCCGTTTGAGCTATTGCATGCCTTCCAAAATTTAGAGGAGATTTGGATTAGTTTTTGCAAACAAATGGAGGAGATAATAGCATCATCAGATTCAGATGCATCATCTGATATATTCAATTTTCCCAAGTTAAGGAAATTGAGATTGGACTATTTACCCCAATTGAAGAGCATCTGTAGTGGCAAAGGAGTTATGGTTTGTGATTCTATTGAAGAAATTACAGTACGTCACTGTCGGAAGTTACAGAGGATCCCTTTGCAACTTCTCCTGCTTGATAATGGCCAGCCAGCTCCTCCTCCTCATCTCAGAGAAATCAACATAGTTGAACGGGAGTCAAAAGAATGGTGGGAATCACTGGAGTGGGATCATCCTAATGCTCAGAACATGCTCCAACCTTTCTTGAAATTACATCGTTAAGGTGTTGATTGATTTATTCTAATTTGAATTTGATTGTTTAGTTGCTTAAAAATTCTGTCATCTCATCTACAAGGGGAGTTCTTGAGAAATCTTCAATTTTTCAGATATGATGAGTAAATTAAATATGTCACGTGGGACCCCAATAACACGTGCCAAAAAACCCCTCTTCCTCCGCTCCACAACGAAAACAATGGAAATGTGCGGCTGGGAATTTGACATAGGGGAAGCCAATGTAGGAGAGCAGGTATTCTAGAATTGATGAGATTGAGATGCATCCACCCTTAACATTCTGCTCTGCTGTCTCATAAACTCCAACTATGTAAGTATCCTTATTTTGACTTATTATT